TGAGGAGCTCTGACCCCACTGTCACCAGAGAAACTAAGGAAAAAGCAGGAACTAACTACCTTCTAGGTAGCATTATTTGCTGTAAGGGGAATGCAGAGGGAATGCACACACACAACTCACTGATCGAGAAGACGTTCTCCTCCTCTTTGATGATCCTGCACTGCTCCAGCAGCAGAGCTCCGATGGGCTGGAAAAGACCCGGAGAGAGGGTTTAACCCGCGCCACCCACCAGTGAGACAGTGTTCTGAACCCACAGAGTTTTGCCTTTTAATGCCTTTTAAGCAAGTTTCATAACCTGGTGCTACTTTTAAAGCAACTCAATCTAATTGCATGGTCTTTTAATCACCCTTTTTGTGTCTGCTGACGTGCTTCATTGCGCTGGGCCCTTTGTGTTCACTAATCAGGTGTTAAACAATTCCCCTTGCTCACATTCAGTCTGGGCTTTAGCATTCCTTCCCGTGAGGCAAAGACAGGGAAGAAGTTTACCTTCCTTGCTGAGTAAATCCAACAAAGATGAAACATTTAACACACCTTGCAGGAGGTTAAGAACAGCCTCGATGAACTATAACAGCTCAGGACAAACAGACAAACGGCAGGAAATATTTGCCACCCGGCGCACACCCAGCAAGGGCAGGAGAAGGAAAGGGCAATACAAGCCATAAACAAAAGCAACCCACGAGCAAATTCTTTTGTCCAAGATAAACAAACTGCAGAAGGCAATTAAAGGCAGCAGGAAGACACTGAAACCCCTGACTTCCAATGTGTTTCTGGCACAAGGGTTTGCATCAGCCTCCATCTACCTCCTGAGCTCTTTTTGATCCACTCAAGAGCTCCCCTCCCACACAGGAGGGTTTACAAACAACCAGGAGGAAAGAAGAGAGCAGAGCAGGAGGGAAGGAGACAGTGGAGGGGACGGGCAGTGCCCTCAGACATCAGGAGCCACTGCAGCGCCTCAGCCCCCGGAGAACTGCGGCTGAGTGAGGCAGAGACTAGAGACTGTGCTTCAGCAAAGGAGAAAAGGGATTTCTGAAAACAGGAGCTCAGCCTTTATCAGGATAAAATATTTATGATGACGTCAGTCTAAAAGCCATGAAAAGCTTTCCAGTCCCTTTGTAGCACCAGCACGCACACAGCACCTCCCTTCACAAACGTTATTAAGACTGATTTGATATTCATTTTCCAACCAGAGAATCTTTAGCAACAGTTACCATGGGATTCATTAAAAAATCAACAGATCTCAGCTGTGGGAAAGCCAGAAACAGAACCCAAAGGTCCCATCCCTCACTTGTTTTTTCTAGAACCACAGAATCATAGAATGATGTGGGGTTGGAAGGGACCTCTGGAGATCATCTCCTCCAAGCCCCTGCCAGAGCAGGGTCACCCAGAGCAGGTCCCACAGGAACGTGTCCAGGTGGGTTTGAATGTCTCCAGAGAAGGAGACTCCACCACCTCCCTGGGCAGCCTCTGCCAGGGCTCTGCCACCCTCACAGGAAAGAAGTTCCTCCTCATGTTTAGATGGAACTTCCCATGTTCAAGTTTGTGCCCATTTCCTTGTCCTGTCCCTGGGCACCACTGAAAAAAGACCAGCCCCATCCTCCTGACACCCACCCTTGAAGTATTTATAGGTGTTGATCAGATTCCCCTCAGCCTTCTCTTCTCCAGACTAAAAAGACCCAAGTCCCTCAACCTCTCCTCATGAGAGAGATGCTCCAGGCCCCTCATCACCTTTGTAACCTCTGCTGTTCCCTCTCCAGCAGAGAGCTACAAAAATGATAGAGAATCATAGAATCCCAGGTTGGACGGGATCTCAGGGATCATCTGCTCCAACCTTTCTTGGTAGCAGCACAGTCTGGCCCAGCACCTTGTCCAGCTGAATCTTAACAGTGTCCAATGATGAGCGAAAACCCCAGCAGGGCTTCCACATGCCCAAAATAACAACACAGACAGGGTACGGCCAGAAAAGTTTCCCAGTAACAGTGAGCACTGTACACAAGTACAATTCCTGGCATAAAAAAGAAGAAACAATTCTATTTCTTTTCCTAGGAGGGCAAAACCATACGCTTCCCATCCCAGTTTGGCAGGATAAGGGCCAGTCCTACAAGCAGGCATGACAGACTCCACCTTCTGCAGTTTTGGGGGGCAATGTTTAAAGGATTCATTCCAAGCTCATGGGAGAAGCACCCAGGGGTGGGCAGAGAGAAATGCTGCTGCTTCTCACCCCTACGGGTTTTGGCCAAGGGGACGGGAGAGGAAATGTGGGTGCCCAGACCTGGCTCTTCCCCATCCCTGTCCCCTTTTCTGAAGCCCACGCGATGGATTGACAGAAACAGAAGAGAGAGGGAGGAAAACAAACAAAGAAACAAACAACAGCAGCAGCAGATGACACACCTCCGCTTCGTCTGTCCGGAAGTAGAAGAGAAAGTTGACGACGAGCTTCACGAGGCGTTTCTTTAACACTGCAAAGGAAAAGAGAGTTGAGGTGGGCAGAAGGGCCGAGCCGGCCCCCACCCTGGTGGGGGGGGCACAGAGGGAAGCCCCTTCCACCCCTCCCAGCGCCCGTTCAACAACCCACGGGGAGACAAGGTGACAAAGTCACTCTGCAGCTTCTCCAGTGGCTTCCTGGGCAGAGAGAACCCCGGGCACCACGTCACGGAGACGCCCGCGAGGCGGCCGACGGGAGCTCAGCCCCTCCCGGGGAACGCTCCGGAGCCTCCTCTTCTCCAGGCTGAACAACCCCAGCTCCCTCAGCCTGTCCTCGTAGCAGAGGTGCTCCATCCCCCTGATCATCCTTGTGGCCCTCCTCTGGACCCGCTCCATCAGGTCCATGTCCTTATATTGAGGGCTCCAGCCTCGCCTCTCCAGTTTTCCAGCCTCGCTTTTCCAACACAACCCCTCCCAGTTTCCCCAGTCCCTCTCCCCCAGTCCCCCTACAGCCCTGTCTCCCAGCAGCTCCACTCCTGTCCCTCCAGTCCCCCCGGTACTGCCCTAAGCCCACCGGACTCCTCCCGCTCCTTCCCCTCAGGCCTCCCCACTCCAACCCCCCCCTCCCCGCCCTTCCCAGTCCTCCCCTCCCGAGCTCCCCTCTCACCGCTCCCTTTCTTGGGCAACCGCATCAACACCTCGGCCGCCTTCTCGGCAGGCTGCCGGGCCAGGGACAGCAGCTCCCGCTCGTTGTACCTCATGGCGAGAGC